AAATCAAGACCACGCCTGTCCAAGTGATCACAGTTAACCAGATTGGAAGGATACTGCTTGTATCTGCTTTACTGCACCGTTTTATCCCTTGTCCGGTCAGATATAACACCTGTTCCAAAGAAAGAAAGTATGTAGACGGTTTACATTTCATTGAAGAGCTTATAGGCAATATAAGCATTGACTCTAGAAGAATGTTTTGCATCTGGAGCTGACAGTATACAGTGCAGACTCAATGACTTATGCATTATATCTGCCAAATATTTAGCCATATTATTTCAATTTCATACTAAGAATAGCCTGCAGTTTATAAGTTCATACAATCAACTAAGTCATGAAAATCACCGGATAACTGAGACATTTGAAATAAAAGCTGAGAAATTAGTCAAATACTGAACCACATACACACACACAAACATGCAGAATGGAAACATGAAGTAGGGATATAGCAGTGTGAACAGTACTAGTGATTTATCACAGCATACGTTAATTTTTTCTGATTAACAAACTTCAATCATATCCAAGAATAATTCATCAGACTTACCATCAATATAGCGAAAACGATGATCAAAGCAGGCAGGATGGTCGAAATTATCTGCAAGTAATAAGGTTAAAGTATTATGGTTCTTTTTCCTTTGGTTAAGAAATATTTACTTCATATTGTATGTATGATATCGGTAGTATTATTTTCGCCGTTTTCAAGATTGATCACGGACAGTTTTCAGTGAGAAAGGCAAAGAAAATCATGGCGTACTGTACTTCTGTTTCTTCCTTGTTTGCGACTAATCAGCAGTACTCACTCATGACAGCAAGTTAAAAGATTGAAAGTTGTATCGTCAGGCTACAAGTCAACTTCGTATGTCATTGAGCCGCTGGGATGGAATACATAAGCCTGTGAATTCCAACCGCCTCAACCTTGTGATGCATAGCGCGATCTTCAGCCAGTTTTATCGTTGACTAATTGTCATCATGCGTAACCCTATTTATCTAGGTTGTTAACACTCATGGTTATTCTTTGATGGACTTCAAAGTACGCCGTATATTTTGATAGGTTCGAAGTCAACCGATGTTTGTTCAGTAACGTCTCATTCAGCCAGCACCAGATTAGCTTGTATAGAAATAGATTACCTGCTACATGTATAAATAGACTACATGAACCCTGCTAAGGTTTGATGTCTCAATTGGACTAGACAGGCATAACATATGTTGCTCAATTTATCATGAAAAGCACGAGTTTTTATTTTAAATTACTTAGACCAAATTAATGATGCAGGAAGTGTGCTGGTCAAATTACCATATCTGCCTATGTTACTTAGGAAAAATTTATAACTGTCGTATAGTGTTAATTCTCCTGCATAAATCTTGAATATTGGATAAATGTATTGAGTTAACAATGAGAGAAAAGAAGTCAGTTATTAAGCAATATGCAAGTAATGAAAGAAAGCTGCAGAGATCAGATCATGTATAATTTGTGGACATTGAATTTTCTAGTTGAGATTCACTACTGATGCGTACTTGTGACGAATGAAAAGTACACCTAATAAAGCCTTATTTCATATCGATTAACCCATCACAATATGATCAGTTGCTCAGAAATGATAAATTATCTAAATCACTCAGGATAAGTTATTCCATTAAATAAGTTGAAGCTTACCCCATTCAAAGTAACTTTTAAAGTAATCAACACGATGATTCCCACCACTGTTATCCCACCAGCAAAGCTCAGTACTATGATGCTGGATGTCTTACTCAGTTTTTTCATTTTGTACCCGAATATGAGTGCACCCACAGAAACAGCCATCGTCAGAGTCCATGATAAAATATTCCATAACCACAAGGCTGCTGTTATGCCAGGTATTGCAAATGACAATAATAAAAGCTAGAATGTGTATGCATAAGATATAAGTACGAACATTTATTAATATCTTCAATGAGACAGATTCACTCCTGATATATGTATAAGAACTAAACAAGGCGGTCTATTTTCGTTTATTAAACTCTTCAAAATATGACCACTTACGCCGTCTTCCTTTGGAGTATACATAACATAATTAAGTTATCTTTGGAGCCTAATGGATAAACACATATGGTTGTTAAACTGCATGATGAGAATAACGGTGGACACATCACCTTTGGAAATAACTGAAGCGTATTGAGGGCTAGTGGTGATGGTGATCACGTAGCATTATTGTTCTAATTGCTACTATTCTACTGATTTTCGAGAGGAACGATTTAACATTCATAGTGAAGAAACTGATTTTGTCGCTTGAGCTGAGTGAAGCAGAATCTACAATGGTTTCAGGGTCATGAGGGCTTCTTTGCTTTTGCTATGCTGCCTTGGTTGTGTCACATATGGTTTAGAATCGAAATAAATATATTAGCATATAATTGAAATGATGACACCGAGATAAGTGCAGGAAGAGACTTTCTTGTAACTTTTTCTGCTGGTGTTGACTGACGCTTATTGTTGCTGGGTACCCTCTGTAGGAATACTAGTCACGTTTAGACTGATCCTTTCACCGACCATATTATACATTATATATAAGTACAAAATTATAACGATGTTTGATGTGACAGATTCATAATGATATTTCTAGAAAAATACAATACATTGCTATAAAGCAACGCGATGTTAATTCGTTTATTATGCTGTCCACAATACCACAACCTGTGGTCTCCTCCTTTTGAATAACGATAACTGATGAGGTTGATTGTTTATTGAACTGTGAAAGATTTTATGCTGAGGGTAGATGCACCTACTTTATCTTTGAAAATAAATGAATCGTTATTTAGCACTATATTGGTAAAAATGTCCATGAACAAATGACCTTCAAGTAAACTGACTTCAATTTATACAAAACGTTTTGACTATATATTTTGATGATTAATAAAAAATCCGAATAGATCTGCTGAAGAAGCTGTGGGTTACACAGTGAAATGTTCAGAAAAACCTTGTTTCGATTTTCTTAAACACACTGGGATAAATTTAAATAATTTTTAATGCGGTATCTAGAACTCTTGTGAACACCATAAATCTTTCACAAAACGCTGATAGTAGCAACATTATTATTTCGGTTTTTTAGTAGAACATCAGCCTTCAGCAGTGAATTTCCACTTCTCTGTTTTTTCTGGAGCTTTCTTTGGGTGCTTGTATGACTGACCGTAAGGTTTCATTTCCTCCTATAATGTCCGCAGCTCCATCCTTCAATCAATGTAATAATTACCATGTATCCTACAGGTTCCATTAGTTGGCCTGGCCAACGATATTACTCGACGTTTCTATACAGCTTGAGTTCTGGCTGTCTCGATCTCCCTCGTTGTTTGTTGATTGTCTCTGAATCTATTATAAGTCATGATTTCGCATTAGCATTGAAGAATAAGATCGTATCCATTATGTTGCGTGTGGCAGGCTTCCATACCGATTTCCATATAGTCAAGGAATGTCATGCTCTTTCCATCCTTTCAAGCTCTACCATCCTAAGTTGTACGGTTCATAATTAAAACTTGTGTGGGAATGTAGTTGGAATGACGCCTTTCGGACAATGTGCACGACTGGAATCCTCCAAATCTCACCGTTTGATGGTAACTGTTGCTTATTCTCTGCATGGATTATTTATCTTCATCACCACTGTCACCTGTGTGTTCATTTGAAGTCTTGGTTAAACCGGCATTCTCTTCTGATTTGTTGCTTTCCACTCGCTGGCTAACGAATTTCTACCAAATGAGAGAGAAATTTTCAAAGAAGTCCAGGTCTTCTGGAGTTTTCTTATATGTCTTGTCGCCTTGCATGGTACAATAGATGGTCCCATCCATGATACTTATTTACATAATCTGTGACAACAACAGCTTTGTTTTACTACTCTCTTTGATTCAGAAATTTTGATGAACATTGCTTTGTGGCTCACTTGACATTGCTCATTATCAAATGGCTTTTAAATGGGTTTGATAAAGGTTTAGGAGACTGTGTACCTTCTTCTACATAGTCATTTTCTCACAGTGCGTTCACCATCCTCCCTGGATAATCAATCACTCAATATATTGGTTGAATGAATATTTCTGGCCCAATGTAATGAAAGTAAAGTGATCTGATTCACCCACCTTGACGATTTGATTATACATATTATCATATAACGAGCAACTCGTAACCAGTCATTAAACATGCTAGTCTCTAGTGAACATGCCAGTGACATCAGATAAAGGAGTTTGGTGTGGCTCGGATTCCATTCTACAAGAGCATTCTAAGTAATTATGCAACTGTTTTCCAATGTATGATCCAATATATCCTATACCTGATCATTAACAGTACAAACTTCGAAATGATCAATGAGCGACATTTCCGTGAGACAGACCTCAAATATCTTTGTCAACAGTTTTCTTATGCAGAGTCTTTTCTTGTGAAGTGGTCAGTGTATGGTGTCAAAGAAACACATTCTTAAACTGAATAATATAAAACTTACTGCAAGTACTACTAGCGCATAATTCAGTGGAAATCGTTCTTGAACGTTCTTAGCAAAGAGAAACACTCCCATGGGGATTATACCAAGTACACTGAAGACAAAAATATGGAAAATAGTTAGTAAAATGCAATTATAAATCGTAGACATCAAATCTCCCATTAGACATTATTTATTTTTATTTGAATCCACACAGTATTTTGGTACAAGTATGGAATTATTAGCATGTGATATCAGTAGCCCAAATTTCGCAGACCGACCATTGATATCAGGTGTGCGTCGGCAGGGGATCGAACCGTGGACCATGTGCTTGGCCGGCGAGAGTCCTAGCCGCCATGCCACGGACGCACAAGTGAAAGTGCCCACTCATCATCACCACGATGCAGTTCCAATAAGGGCTGATTTCATCTTGATTACTAATAATTATCATTCACTGATAATAGTGACATACTAGTATATTCTGGCACAATAGCCACAATATGCGACAAAACTACGCTTCAATATACTTACAAAAATGCACTTGGTAGATAGAGTTTTTCGCACAGATCTCGAAATGGAGGTCTATAGAAAAAGAGCTGTGTAGAGGAGATATTACAATACAAACTTACATGGTTGCTGCACACATTGTAATAATTATTGTCAACAAAACCATTGTACACGTCAAAATAAGATACTTGATTTTATTTCAGAGTTTATGCTGAATATGTAGATGAATTTACCTACCTTTAGGTAACAGCTTTCTGCAGAAATCACCCCAGGCTTTGTATTCTATAAAATGAAGCATTGATAATTATCTTTCTCTCACAAACCCTTGGTGTTTCACCTATTTTTACTATTCGCGTAGTTCATGAAAATAAACAGACGGAATAATTGTCAGTATAAACATGGAAAGTGTTTGATTGAAACTTATAACAAATTAACGTATGTAATACTAGTCTTAAGTCAAACAGAATACATGTTTCGCTCTTTACAATTTTAGTGATTCGAAAGCTATGCAGTTACCGTTATCGAAAAAAAATGTATTACCGCAATTTTTCTCTACAGATGAAAGTTGATCCGGCTATAATGATCTCCCCTGGAATTATCACTCTTCTCACAGTGAATATGTTGAGGAACACCGTAACTGATGACTGCATTTAATAGGTGAACAGTGGTCCTCGTTAGTTTGGTACGTTCTCTTGTAGTTATACTGGGTGTATAATATTCACTCACACCGTTTATACGAAACCTTTTTGTTTCTCACCTGTGGTTACTTAGCCAATCACGGGTGACAATTAAATTATCATTTTGTCCCTAGTGGTAATCTATAACCTCAGAGTGATCAACAATCATTATGCTTACAGTAGATTGCGGTATCTACCACCTGCTATTACTATATGCAATCCCTTCTTCATTAATTTGCCTTAGGCGTTTTGTATACATGAAACTCACTGAATTCAAAGTAGATTATTCATCACTTTCGAAACCGTATTATCATGTCTTTAGACATCATCATCTTCCCGAAGCATGTTCATGTCAATGAGTTATACCGCTTTGGATATCACAGCACTGGTTAATTTGATTATCATAGAAACAAAGTATACGTTATATGCCCCCGATATTTATTAAGTGCACTTAAGTAGGTGTTTCACCACGAGGAATACAACACAATGAAACATTTATATATATGTATATATTTGACTGATATGATTGTAAGAGTGTCGCCTTCAAATTGTGACAGTTGCTTAGATTATTAACGAACAAAAGACATTTACATGAACGTATCGTTGTTTGATTAATATTAGCAACAATACGAATAATATTAATAATTTTAGTAATTGAAATGATGCGCATTATAAGAACCACTATTCCGAAAACCTAATTGAAAAGTACTCAAGGCCAGTTATAACATCCTGGTGGAGTACTCATGGTATGAACCGTTTAACATTCTAGGTGGAATTTGTTTATCCTCAATAAAAACTGGTAAATATATTTAAACTTACATGACTTCATATTGACCACCTGGAATCAACATTGTAAACTGACTCCCTTATATGTTACAGTTGTCAGCAGACTTTGGTCAGTTGCTCATATTCTAATATGAAATTGATCGTATGTACAGACCAAAAATCAAAGATACTTTTCAAGTGATTTTCTCAATTGTTATTTTCAGAAACGAATGATGTAAACATCAGCATCACAGATTCATAAAACGTTAACTGTTAGTAAGAAAATTGAGGTGAATATCTGCTACCGTTGAGACAGTGTGTCGATTATAAATTAAGAGTACTTGAGACTAGGAAATCGATAGTCATCACAACAAATGTATGCATCTTCGATAAGCATGTATTCAACACCGCACATGCATATAAGTGTTAACAACTGGACGATGCTTCGAGCAGAATGTATTGATCATAATCATATCGATTTGTCTCACGTGAGTGTTTCTCTTTGTGTGTGTTCCAGTGACTGATTGTTGCAACTTTGCAAGCGTTACGTCATTCTGATTGCATGTGTGTGACGTTGAATCGAAAAAAGTTACAGTGATTACCTTCTCCCTCTACACCTAACTATATAACTTTTGAACAATCTGACACTCTCCCTCCTGCCTATTTCAAGAACGCAGTGCAATGGATGACAGTTTTCTAGGTTGTTTACTTAGCATAGTCAGTCATTCTAGGTCTAGTTAGCATTTTATGATCTGATAATCTACTTGCCTTGATCTACTAGTTTGACCTAAGTAATTGACCTCACTCACAGTCATTACGTGGTATATCGCAGATTGTGCTATCTTTTCTAATTACATATATTGGGTCGTTTAGCCAACGATATATTTCTGAGAGAGTTGTTTGAATAAAGTGCCACTTTTATTTCAGCCTCACTAAGAATCCTACATAAGGCATGTGATTTTCTTTCTTTATATTGCAGTACCACAGATAATTTGAATAATATATTATTTCCGCCATAAGTATTGTTAATTTTATTTTTTCTTTGGATCATACTTGTCTGAAAAAGTCCTGCTAGGTAGTCCTCCTATAGTAAAATTTTCTTTGTTTGATGTCACTAACTGAAACCTCGAGTCTGAATGAAATATTCGTCTACAATACCGATGACGCTTTCCTATTTCAAGTTAACCAGACTTTTAATAAGGAGAACTACATCTCAATTATTTATTTAAAAAGCATTTAATGTCAGGTTGAGTGAAATGAACTGTTTAAATTGTCTGTTGATTTTCTGAAGATTCAACTTCGAGACGAAATGTTGTCCAATGAGATTCCTGACCACAAGGTAAATTATATCAAAATTGGAGGAATAAACGCCGGTACTTCTACACTTATACTACTGAATAATAATATCAGTAGCCACTTCAAAACGCAGAAAATTCGAAATAAATACGAATTGAGTTGACGTCATTATTTGTTAATTCTTCCGTTCATTTCGTATTGTTACAGAACAGATTTTCAAGTGTTTTATTTTTTGTTAAGGGTTATTGTATATATTTTTCTGTAGAATTTTGGATTAAAGCTGTGTGGAATGAGAGGGATATATCTCAGCATGAGAAATTCTTCCTATATTACTCGTATAACTACTAGTATTAGGCCCCATTTTATTCACATTTGAGTGACCCAGATTCTTTAGTTTGCCACTAATAAATTTTCACTGTCATCTACGGAAATAACAATTGAATCAGTGTGTTCATCAGCAATCCTTAGATCAAGAGTCATTCATTAATTCACTATTTCGTAGCGGTGAAAACTGAAGAATTCAGACACATGGGAGTGGTGACATCAGTTTCTTTATGGATGTTTGGTAGAATGTGAACATAGTCAACCATCAGGGTTCCTACGAGGTATCATTTTTGCCATTCATGTGTTCGAATGAAATCAGCACTCATCTAATACTCAACTTATAAAAAATTTATGATTCAATAATCGGAATAACAAAAGTGGTAATACGTAGTATTCTCAGAATACAGGCACTCTGTAATTCACCAATCACCGATTCGGAATAACAAGACTTGATAGATAATTGAAACATCAGAAATCGACATTATTTCAGAGCAAATAATGAGAGGGTTTACAAATGACCCTTTGGAAATATTGTTTACCCTTGAAACTTTTTATATTTTTTCATTATTCAGATAGGAGAAATACTCCTGCGATGGACTGGCATTACATTCCAGCAATCATAATAATAATAATCTCCTTGATTCCAAAAACAGCACTACTTATAATACAGAATGGAATTCTCAGCATTTGTCACAATATTGCAACTGATTTACTCAAAACATAATTAAAATTAAAAATTAAAACTAAATTAGCCGGAGGTATTTGTCCACATTTACGATATAAAGTCAAAAATATTCGAAGCACGAATTGAGATTATTAAATATAATAATAATAAGAATAATAATAATAACAGTGAGTTTGTTTCAAACGGTATCGTCGATTCAGTTTGAAAACTTTAGCGTGTTATAGATTATTGTTTCTAATATTCTGTTGATATAGTATGGTGAGGAAAAATACAAAGTTAACAGTTATAACACATCTCAAACGATGTACAATTTTAATGTCCTTCCAAGCGGCTGGAACGACATTTTTGGAAAAAGACTAGTTAAATATATCCATGAGAGGATAACACAGGATATCTGCACACTTTTTAAGAATAACACTAGGCAAACCATCTGGACCCAGGCTACAAGAAGGGTTCATAGACTGGAGACATTTTAGAACATCATTTGTAGTAAATCCAGGGAAGCAGGTTTCATTAATACTTGTAACACTAGAAAGTTTGGCATTTGTGTTTAGTGTGCAAACATCAAGGGAATAAGGAATACTGTTCATCTGCTTACCACCAGTAATTTCTTTGAAAAGTTTCCATATATTAGATGCATTTTTACAGGATATAAACTTTTGGTTGTAAATTGAATTCAATCTGTGCATTTCAGAATTTATTAGGGTGTTAATTCTTTTCAAACCAACATTATCCTTCATTTTATATAATTTTTCTTTTTGCCTTCGAAGCTTTTTAAGTTGAGGGGAGGAGAAACAGTCAAATCTGATGAAGAGCGTTTCTCTGGGACAACAGGTGTCAAGAAAAAATTTGAGATAACTTGTAATACTAGAGATTGTGCCATCAAGAGAGTCTTCTTTAAACAGGTCCCACCTTGTCTCTTTGAGCATGCTTCTGAGGTTCTGAACATTCTCCATAGAGTAACATCCATGTACAGTTTTCTTGGAAAGGTGTGGAAAAGTTCTCTTATGTAACTTTCCATAAATTTTAGGTAAAACGCGTACAATACAATGATCTGAGTTAAACAATAGGGCTCTTTCACGAGCTTCGTATATTCCAGAGTCATTTATAAGTACAAGATCAAGGGAATTATCCAGTCTGGTGGGAAAGTTAACAACGTTTTCATGACCTATCACTGTGAGAAAGCTGCAGTCACATGAATTAAAATCACCTGTCACTATGGACAGGGAGTTACTAAAAGAGGCAGCAGCGAAAATAGTGAATTCATCAGCAAACATAGATAATTTTGAAGTGCTACAACAAGGTGTGAAACAAATATTTGTGACATAAATGAATTTGTATTTAGATAGGTGTTTAGGTCGACATTTGACAGTTATACAGTCAATATTATCATTTGAGAATTTGAAACAGACGTTGT